GCCCTCACGCTCATCCACCAATGTTTGGATGATGCCATGTTTGAGAAGATGGCAGATGCTACCTCCTCAAAGGAAGCTTGGGGGATTTTACAAAATTCTCTTCAAGGAATTGACAAGGTGAAGAAAGTAAAACTTCAAACTCTAAGGGCTGATTTTGAAGCTTTAATAATAAAAGAATCCGAATGCATCTCGGATTATTTTTTAAAAGTAAAGGTTGTTGTAAATCAACTAAGAAGATACGGGGAGGACATAGAAGATGTCCATGTGGTAGAAAAGATCTTTCGCACTTTAACACCTAAATTTGATTTTGTGGTGTGTGATATTGAGGAGTCAAAAGATTTAGACTCTATGATGGTGGAGCAATTGGAAGGTTCTTTACAAGCCCACAAAGAAAAGATCAAAAGGAGACAAGAAGTGCCATTGGAGCAACTTCTTAAAACTCAGGCATCCTTCAAGGATTATGGAGGTGAAAAGAGCTATCGAGAAAACGGACGAGACGAGGCCGAGGCGGTCATGGAAAAAGAAGAAGTAATGGTAACAACTTCAACAATGAAGTTAAAATCCACCAAACATTCAGAGGTCGTGGTCGTGGACAAAGAGGAGGAAGAGGACGTGGCTAATACCAAGAAAATAATGGACAAAGGTATGACAAATCAAAAATTAAGTGTTATAATTGTCAAAAATTTGGCCATTACTCTTGGGAATGTCGTAGCAATGTTGAAGAAAAAGCTAACCTTGTTGACGACAAGAAAGAAGAAGATGAGTCAACGTTGTTGATGGCACTCAAGGAAGAAAACAGAGATGATTGCAGCTCGTGGTATTTGGACAATGGAGCAAGCAATCATATGTGTGAATGAAAAGAGAAGTTTGTGGAGATCAATAAAACGGTGAGAGGTAATGTGTCCTTTGGAGATACCTCAAAGGTTCAAATCGAAGGAATATGTACGATTCTGATCTCCTGTAAAAATGGTAGTCACAAGTTAATTCAAGATTTTTATTATGTGCCAAAATTAAAAAGTAATATTTTGAGTTTGGGCCAACTTCTTGAAAAGGAATATGATATCCACATGAAAAATATGCATCATTGGCTTAGAGATTCAAGTGGAATTCTAATTGCTAAAGTGCACATGGCAAAGAATAGATTGTTTTCTCTGAATCTTAAAACAATTGATGCAAAGTGTTTGCAGGATAATGTGCAAGATGAATCATGGTATTGGCACATGCGATTTGGGCACTTGAATGAAGCACTCAAATCAATGGGAGAAAAGAACATGGTTCATGGGATACCATCAATCAACCATCCCAATCAATTGTGTGAAGCTTGTCTTCTTGGAAAACATACAAGGAGGAGTTTTCCAAAGGAGGCCATGTCAAGATCAACTAAGCCGTTCCAGCTTGTTCATACTGATGTGTGTGGACCAATCAATCCACTTTCTTTTGGTAAAAGAAAATACTTTCTGCTTTTCATTGATGACTTTAGTAGAAAGACTTGGGTTTATTTCTTGAACCAAAAATCTGAAGCTTTTGCGGCTTTTAAAAATTTCAAAGTACTTGTGGAAAAAGAAAGTGACTATGAAATTAAAGCTCTAAGGTTCGATAGAGGAGGCGAATTCACTTCAAACGAATTTAATGACTTCTGTCAACTTCATGGAATTTGTCGCCCTCTAACAGTACATTATTCACCTAAACAAAATGGTGTTGCAGAGAGATATAATCAAATGATTCTTAATATGGCTAGATGTATGTTGAAAGCTAAAAGTATACCCAAGGAATTTTGGGCCGAAGCTGTTTCTTGTGCAGTTTATTTGAATAACAGGTCTCCAACAAGAAATGTTAGAGATCAAACCCCTCAAGAAGCATGGAGTGAAAGAAAGCCAAGTGTCAAGCACTTGAGAATCTTTGGGAGCATAGCCTATGCTCATGTGCCACGTCAAGGGAGAGCAAAGCTTGACGATCGAAGTGTCAAGCATGTGTTTGTTGGCTATGATACGAGTTCAAAAGGCTACAAGCTATACAACCCAAGCAGCGGCAAGGTGGTGGTAAGTCGTGATGTTGAATTTGATAAAGAATTGGCATGGAATTGGGAAGCTGAGGAAGAAACTTCATATGATTTTCTTCCATACTTTGGTGATGAAGAAGAACCAGAGACCGTGGAACCTATACAGGACACAACTCTGCCTCCTTCTCTAACAAATGTTGCATCTCCCTTTTCTCAAGAAGATTCAAATGAACAACCGCAAAGGACAAGGAGCATTCAAGAGCTCTATGAGGACACAAAAGAAGTTACTAATTTTGATTTTTTATGTTGTCTCTTTGCTGACAGTGAACTAATGAACTTTGATGAAGCTGTTACAAACAAAAGGTGGAGACAGGCCATGGAGGAGGAGATTGAGTCAATAGAGAAGAACAACACTTGGGAGTTAACAACTCTTCCCAAAGGTCATCAAGCAATTGGAGTGAAATAGGTATACAAGATAAAGAAGAATGCTGATGGAGATGTGGAGAGATACAAGGCACGATTTGTGGCTAAAGGTTACAAGCAAAGGCAAGGCATTGACTATGAAGAAGTCTATGCACCTGTTTCCCGCATGGAGATGATTCATTTGCTGAACTCTTTGGCGGCGCAAATAAAGTGGAAGATTCATCAACTAGATATCAAGTCAGCCTTCTTGAATGACTATCTTGAAGAAGAAGTCTATGTTGAACAACCATTGGGCTTCATGGTCAAAACCATGAAGATAAAGTGTTGCGGTTGAAGAAAGTTTTATATGGATTAAAGCAAGCCCCGCGAGCATGGAATAGTTACATCAACAAGTATTTTCAAGATAATGGATTTACTCATTGTCTCCATGAATATGCTCTTTACCTTAAAGTTCATACTAATGGAGATATCTTACTTGTTTGTCTTTATGTTTATGATCTTATTTTCACGGGTAATAACCCAAGCTTGTTTGTCGCTTTCAAGAAAGATATGTCCCGTGAATTCGAGATGACAGACGTAGGGCCCATGTCATATTACCTGGGCCTAGAAGTGAAGTAGATGGAGGATGGAATTTTTATCTCTCAGGAAAGCTATACAAAAGAGATATTGAAGAAGTTCAATATGCTCGATTGCAGCCCCGTGAACACACCGATGGAAAGTGGGACAAAATTGTCCAAGTTTGATGAAGGAGAAAAAATGGATCCCACATTTTTCAAAAGTCTTGTAGGAAGTTTGAGATACTTGACTTGTACCAGGCCAGATATACTCTTTGCAGTTGGAGTAGTAAGCCGGTTCATGGAAGCTCCTACCTCCACTCACTTGAAGGTCACTAGAAGAATTCTTCATTACCTAAAAGGTACGATCGACTTTGGGTTATTTTATTCTTCTTCTAATGATTTCAACCTTGTGGGATATTGTGATAGTGATTATGCGGGAGATATTGATGATAGAAAAAGTACAATTGGTTTTGTATTTTTCTTGGGTGAATCTTTTATTTCCTGGAGATCAAGGAAACAGTCCATAGTTAGTCTCTCGACTTGTGAAGCCGAATATGTAGCAACAACATCATGTACCTGCCATGCTATTTGGCTAAGAAGATTATTGAAGGAGCTCAATTTGCTACAAATTGAAGCTATAAAGGTTTGTATTGATAACAAATCTGCACAGGCACTCGCTAAGAATCCGGTGTATCATGATCGAAGCAAGCATATAGATACAAGGTATCACTTCATCAAAGAGTGCATTTCTAAGAAGGAAGTCGAGCTCAAATATGTGAAGTCTCATGATCAAGTTGCAGACATTTTTACAAAACCTCTCAAGTTTGAAAATTTTCAGAGATTGAGAACAAGACTTGGACTGAAGAAGAAAACCAAAATTAAGGGAGAGATTTGTGAGGTCCATACCTCACCTACCAAAGGAAATAAAGAAGAACATGGAAAAGTTGGAGAAGACAGGCTGCTAGGAAAATTGCATATGGGCGGCTAAGCAATGCAAAAGTCAAGTTTGTTTGGCTGAGAGGTTGACAACTTTGCCTATAAATAGAGATGATTCCCTCTCGGTTTAGACACACCAAAAAAATGAGAGAAGCTAAGCAGAAAGCAAAGCAGTGAGAGTAATCCGCAGATTGTTGTCTGTGAGATAAATAGTGAGTGGTAGTAATATTGTAGTGAGGTGCCTTTAAATAAAGAGTGTTATTTATTTCAAAATTGTAGTAGTCTCTTGACACTACCAAGTTTTAATACTATAGTGGTTATATTTCTCCGCTCGGATATTATATTTTACCCCATTAAAAGAGTTGGTGTCGTTGTTACTCTCTTGTGTTATTATTATTTGCCGTGGATATTATTCCTGGGCGGTATATATTATTTTTTATCCAACAATTGCCACATATATAAAAGAAAATAAATAAGAACGGGTAATAAACATAAATAGCTATAAACAAAATGAAAACACGCGCGCGATCGATACGATTAGATGGATCCAATATTAGACTTGCAAATATTATTTGCACTTTATTCACTAGTAGAAACAACAGTCCTTATTCATGCAGTAATTAAGCAGCTGGCCAAGAAGGTTAATTAACTAGCTGATGCATAGAAGTACTAATTAAGCACTAGCATCTAAGGTGAATATCTAGGCAAGCTCGTTCACTATAAATTGCGATTAAGATTAAGTAGAAAACCAGTAGGACCTAAATTGACACTAGGACGAAGGCCGAGACTTCCAATAATGGTATTTACAAGCTGCAAGGGTGACTGCAGAAGCCCAACAGATGTTAAGCTCGCGTTACATGTTGAGAGTGGAGTTAGAACCACTAGACTGCAGTTGGACAATAGCAATGGCAAAGTATTGATAAGAGGATCCAACACCAAGGAAAACACTCCCGATCCATTTGTTGTTGTGCTTGATATCACATTTCCTGCTCCACACTGCAATTGCACTGATGCATCTGCAAAGTAAAATGATATTAATATTATTTAAGCAATTAGATCAACTTTGCATTTTAGCGGACATGTTGAAGATAAAATTAATTATGTAAATAAAAAGATATTATCTCACACCATTTAGACATTTAGATGAATTGATCATATAGTTCAACATGCAGAAACTTCTTATGATGGGCCATATGCATCTTATTGACTGCGAGTGCAGGATTCATTCGGCTCAAGTTACTATATATGTATACCATCCTCAACCCATTGTTATGAAAGGAATAATGAATGCAGTGCTATTTCTCTTAGACTTCAAATCATTAAATTTGCTTACATTTTAAGAAAGTTTACTTGTAATTATCCTTTGGACGATCTAATAGTGTATACATACTCATATATCATAGGCTAATCACGCCACTTACGACTTCTATCATAGGCTTTTAGATATATATAGGGCAGATTTTTTAGTCTATTAGGGAGAGTTCCCTTTTGGTATATATAATAGGTCTACGTAAAAAATAAAAACTAACTAGGGAAAACTTGGGTAGTGAGTCCGTTGATGACATCTAAATTGCTGTTAACGCTGCAAAACACAACCCCACCGATACGTATTGAAACAAGCTGGGCTACTGCAACGGGGGTTGCGATTAATGCAGCCAAAAGGAAAATCAAGAAATTTTTTGCTGAAGCCATGGCAATTTTTTTTGATCTTTAATAGTTATTGATGTAAGAAATTGTGTTGCTCAATTAATGTGTGTGCATGACCAATGTATACTCCCTCCGTTCCAATTTATGTGAACTTATTTGACTGGGCACGGAGTTTAAGAAAAAATAAATGACTTTTGGAATTTGTGGTCCTAAACAAGTTAAAAAGGGGCCCAGAGTATTTGTGTGGTTATAAAAGCTTCTCATTAAGGGTAGAGTTGTAAGTTTATACTAAATTGTTTCCAAATTTAAAAAGGGTTCATTCTTTTTAGAACGGACCAAAAAGGAAATAGGTTCATATAAACTAAACGGAGGGAGCAGTAAATATCATTGGCTGAAATTTCAAAACCCCTAATCCACTTGTTGTGAAAGTGGATTATAATGCTATTGCGTGTATACATAAATGAACTAATTGAAATTTCAAAAACCCTAATCCACTTGTTCATTGTTATATTAGATGCCGGTGGTCACCCTGACTATAACTACATACAATTGCTCCAAGCTTCAATAATCAATAGCAGGCCATCCTTTGACTTCTAAAAACTGCTTTGAAAAGAACTTGTATATAAATAGTATTTCAGAGAACTAATTTTTGAGAAAAACTGATATGTTTGGCAAATTTATTTGAGAATATTTCATAAACAAATTGTGTTTGGTCAATATTTCACAAATATAGTATTAAAGCTCATTTTATAATTAGTATTTTTTAAATAGTTTTTATATAAGACTTTAATTATGTTAATACAACGTCCCCAGGCAAAAGGACGTCAGTACGAATAATGTACCGAGTATGTAAAGCACATAAATAAGTATATAACAGACATGGAAGAAATATAGAATAAATTATTCAACCTGTAAGTCTGGATAACTCTGTAATTCATGAAATAATTATAGTGTCATGCATATGCGTATGAATGTAATGTCATGCATAGGTACATATTTCATAACATCATCAGGCCTCTGAGGGTATCCCATCATATCATCTCGGCTACTGTGGGCAAAATCATCAACGTATACCAGCTGATCAGCTGGTGATGCGTATATAACGCTGTAACCTTTTCCAATATCCCATATACATATAATATACATATATACGCGTATATAACGTCATTTGGTCATGGGTCAATGTACATGTATAAATTCATGAAATGCATAAGAAAATACGTTAATAAGATTTTCTCGGAATGCCATAAAAATCCATATGCCTTTCGGAAAACTTTATCAAATACATATTTATTTAAGACCCATGAACATAAGATATAATAATAATCCACATGAGGAATCAATAATATAGACACTCCTAATATTTCTATGAATAGAGTCATTTATGGAAATTGTGCATTTGCTCGTTTCGTTTACGACGTATAGATCATGCCAAAAGAAAGTAGGGATAGCCTTAACATACCTGGAGTAGGGAAAAATCAGTATGATATTCCTGAAAAAGGTTGCACCGTACTCCCTTAGAATCGCAAAATCTCACGTTGCTAATGTGCTAATAATTCTCGTTGGAATTATTTGGTGTATGAATTGGTTGAAGAATCACATTACTAATGTTTTGTAGGAATTTCCACGAAATTGGTAACAATTTGTAACAAAGTCACTTTGCAATTCTCCAAACCTCACGTCTGATGTGTGTTTGAGAATGAAAAATGTTGCCTTTTATTTAAAATCCTAGAATTTAGGTGTCTTGAAATTGACATGTTAGGTTGCCACCTAATGTAATGACTTAAAGAGTCATACATATGATTTAAGGGGTGCTGCCACGTTTTGGCTTAATCCTTATTCAAGATCTTAATTTATTTAATCACTAATTTATTAATTAATTATTAATTTCCCACTAAAATTAATAATTACTCGGTTATCCACATAATGAAGAGTTATCTCAAATTACTTAAAATACTACTCACTTTTAACACACCTTATACACCTTACTATCATGGCCATGTGGTACCTTGTATGGTACTAGTCCATAAATACCGGGTATTTTAGCTCGGGCCGTATTTTATCGCAAAATGTCAAACTTCGACGAAAATCTTTTTTTTTATTTGCTTACCCTCTCACCTTCACGAACTTATTTATCCCTTGTTTGAAATAGCATAATGCTTATAATCTCCAAATATTCTTGTCATTGAACTGAGGTCAATTATCTTACGATAATTTCATGTATACTACATGTAACATCGTCGTAATAAAATACTGCGGAGCGTAACATCGTCGTAATATAATACTGCAGAGCGTAACATCATCGTAATATAATACTATAGGGCGTAACATCATCGTAACATAATACTGCAGGGTGTGACATCATCGTAATATAATACTGCGAGGTGTAATATCGACGTAATACTGTGAGGCGTATAATATCATTCCCCCCTTTGGAACATTCGTCCCCGAATGTTGACTGATGCACTTATCATTCTCATAAACCATTGCTCTTGCGAATACTTTAATATTCTCCTTTCCATTTAGGCAACTGTTATTTGAATAAATCCAAAGGCCAGGGCATCCCCCCCCCCATTTAAGCCTCTTTCTCACACCACGACTTGTAGTCAGAATCCTTCTTATATTGTAATTGTTGCTACCTTCTATCATGCCTGTATGACTCTAACTTTGTATGTGTGCCTATGCGACGCTTCTCTCCTCTTTCCTCCAGCTCTTAGCCAATCTCTAGGCCTCACTTTGTGAACATATACCAAATTATGTCAAGATATCCCACTGGCATCATTAGCTTTACTAGACCTATTATATCATAACTTTTACTTTGATTTATCGTTACTAGGGCTTACTAGACCTATCATATACCAAACTTCTTATGTAATACCTTGCCACTAGGGCTTACGTTGCATCGAAAAATATTTGAAGTGATTTCCGTAATCGTATTTCATAGCATCCCAATATGATTCACCTTACGTGGGTATTTTAATCATGTGCAACTCATGAAATCCCTCTCCCTCTTTTTTTCAAATCATTACTCAATCGAAGACCCAAATGTCATCCTTTATTTATCACAATTACACCCTCATTCCATTAACAGGGCAACATTCCATTTTTTCTAAATGCTATTAGTCTTAGACATCCTTTGAGTTCATTCAGGCTATACTGAACTTTCTATAACTTAGATAAACCATTAGCTCTCTTGTTTTTATGGACTTAATCCCGAGGACTTATTCATTCTCGTCACCTTTTCACTTGTATTTCCTTATCCTTACTCATATCTTCTTAAAATTTTGTCGCTCTACCATACTTTAACTTGCAACCTATACATATCCATTTATACTAATCACAATCTTCCTTCAACTTGCTTGCACCATAGATTTCCTTATGTTATTCTGGAACATCAAGCGAGACATCACATCGTCTCTAACTCTTCTCTACTCTCTTAACTAGACTTCTCGGTACTTAGAAATCATAGTGTGATGACCCAAAAGGTCATCTCTTGTTTTAAAAGTCAAATTTGTATTCCAAGACCTTAAAAACCTCCTTTTGTCTCACCTCAATTTGCGTGCGCAGTCTGGCCGTATATGCGGAAAGCCTTTATGTGAAAATTTTTGAAAAATGCTAATTTTCTGCCTTAAAAATTGAATTTAAGTTGACTTCGGTCAACATTTTAGGTAAACGGACCCGGACTCGTGATTCGATGGTCCTGGAGGGTCCGTAGGAAAATATGTGACTTGAGCGTATGTCCGAAATTGAATTCCAAAGCCCCTAGCCCGAGAAATGAATTTTTGGTGTAACTGAAAATATAAGAGTTTTTGGAAATTTAATAATATTTGAATTTGATGGTATCGGGCCCGTATTTTGGTTCCGGAGCTCGGTACAGGTTTAATATGGTATTTAAATTGTCCCTGTAAAATTTGGTAAGAAACGGAATTCATATGACGTGATTCGGACCCTCGGTTGTGAAAATGGAAACTTTAAGAGTTCTTGAGATTTTTCTTTGATTTTGAAGCTAAACTAGTAGTTCTAGGTATTATTTTGGCGATTTGATCGCACGAGTAAGTCCGTATAATATTTTTAGACTTGCGTGCATGTTTGGTTATAAGCCCCGAGGGCTCGGGTGAGTTTCAGATAGGTTTCGGGATGTTTTGGACTTAAGAACTTCTGCTATTATATTGCTTCTGGTATTCTGAGATTTTGTTCTTTGCGTTCGCGATGCAGCTCACGGGAACGCGAAGTACAAGCTCCGCTGGGGAAGGGTTTCTTCTACACGAACGCGAGGCCTTGGTCGTGAATACGAAGCACTAGGGGGATTGCACTTCGCGAATGCAACTGGCCACACGCGAACTCGTAGTGTAATGGAGGTGGCTGGTGGGAGTCCTTAAGTTGTTCTTCGCGAACGCAGTCCCAGGACCGCGAACGCGATGGTCATGGAGGACAGACCATTGCGAACGCGAGCAGCTCTTCGCGAATGCGTAGGCCCTTCTGGCCACAAGCATCGCGAATACGACAGACCCTTCGCGAACGCGAAGAATGTTTGTCCAGTGATTTTAAAACAGAACCTAGGTCGAGATTTCTTCAAAATTTCATATCTCCTTCCATAGAATCTGACCATGGGCGATTTTTGAAGAGCAATTTCAACACCAAATCATAGGTATGTATTCTTAAACTCATTTCTTTCATTTTCCATCAAGACCCATTAGATTTCTATGCCTAAATCATTTTCTTTAAGGGTAGAAATTAGGGATTTTAGGAGAATTGGAAATTTTACAAATTTTGGGATATAGACCTCGATTTGGGGTTGGATTCTGAAACTAATTGCATATTTGGGCTCTTGGGTGAATGGATGAACGGGTTTTGGTTCGAACCTCGAGTTTGACCAAGCGGGCCCGGGTCAAGTTTTGACCTTTTTGGAAGAATGTTGGGAAATCTGTAATTTTTCATATGAATTGGTTTCTTGAGCTTCAATTAATGTTAATAAGTTAAATCTGGCTAGATACAATTGAATTGAAAGTGGAATCAAAAGGGAAAGCAGTATTTGAGGCTTGAGT